ATTTATCCCCTTTTTCTTATAGATAATACATATTTTAACTAAACCCCTTTCTATACAAAGTTCAATCAAAGGGCTTCCATTATCATTTACACCTGGCACCCCAAACTTACCTACCACACCCTCTCTAAAAGTTTCTCCTACTTTAGCATTCAGATCCCCTACCACAATGACTCTCTCACTTGGTTCAAAGGCTCCTATACATTCACTTAACATCCCCCAAAATCTCTCTCTCTCCTCTACATTCCTCTCTTCTCCAGGTGCATACACGCTTATTATGGCCCACTTTTCGCATCCAACCTTTACTTTAATCCACATAATTCTTGAATTTACACATTCATATTCTCTTTTCTCCTTCCATAACTGATCCTTCAACATTACTGCTACCCCTTCCTTTGCTCTAACTCTCTCAGATACTCCAGATTTAATCCCATTTATTTCCCCCACCGAAACTCCCCTACCCCCTTCAGCTTTGTTTCGCTTAGGGCCAGGACATCCAACTTCTTTTCATTCATAACATCAGCAATCATCTGTTTCTTGTCATCCGCACTACATCCACGCACATTCAAGCATCCCAGTTTTATAAAGTTTTTCTTCTCTTTTTTAGTAAATGTCTACAGGAGAAGGGGTTACTAGCCCATTGCTCCCGGCATTTTAGTCGCCTCATACGACACGCATGGCTTATGGAGGAAAGATTCTTTTCCACTTCCCCATGGACAATAGAAGAAATAAAGAAGAACAAGAGCTATTTAGAAAAAGGAGAAAAACCTAGATGTATGTACAGGAGGGCCCCGCTTTATGGCGTTTCGCTTTACAGCATTCTGCTAATACCGACATTTCAAATTATGACCAAAACTTGCTATACGGCTCCCCCCACCTGTCTTTCTAATACGGTCACAGTGGCCCACCGAGTTTGTTTACATTCTCCCTGAGCACATCTCATTATGTCTGGAAACTTTCCAAAATTTCAAGTGTTTTAAAGTTATTTTATATTTTATATGTATTGTACTTGATAATTAAACTTGTGTACACCTGTACCTAAATAAACTTACACACTGTGCTGGCATGTAGGTACACATTAAAATCACTAAGAGTCTCTCTACCCCTTGATGCAATAATAATAATAAAATAAAATAATAATAATAATAATAATAATAATAATAAATAATAGTAATAATAATAGTAATAAAAATAATCTCTTGGGGCGCATTAATGTCGCATATTATGTTAATTAGACTTTTCCCCTAATCTTCATGATTTTTTTTTTCAAAATTATATAAAAAAAACACTTATTAACACACAAACATGAAAATGCACCCACAGAAAAAAAATTTATAAAAATTATACGAGATTTTTCCCAAAGGTTTGTAAAGTGTGGGAAGAATTCGTTTTTCTACCCCGGGACCTGTTCGGGAAAAAATGAAAAAAAATTTCCTTTGTATGCCTTATTTTTAAAGCTATAATTCTGTACTAACTTGACACAGTGTAAGGTATTTGTTTCGTGTTTTAATTATTATAATAATAAAAATTTATAAGGTAAAATTTTCACAAATCTTAAAAAATGTACTGAATAAACTAAAATGGAAAACGTTTTTAAAATACCGTCTATTTTGCCTGACCGAGTGATCTCACAACCTGTTCAGTTTGTTTACGCTGTCTGAGCTCGGTGTATCATTAAAGTTGATATTACTTAATATACCATTTTCATTAATCCACCGTGATTTTTTTTCAAAATTATATAAAAAAAACACGAACATAAAAAAAATACTAAAAAATATGTGTAGAGAACCTAGGATAACCCAAAAAAAAGTCAGAGGACTTATTCCCATTGCCTTCACTCAGAGCATCATTTTCCAAAATGATTTAATGAGAATGGAGTTTCTTTTTATTTATTCTCCCGTATAAATGTGAGCAACCTGTACCAATGTAACTTGTACACAAACCAACGTGTCACTGTTTAAAAAACTTACCCTTTGCCTGGTTTTTTTCATAAATCTGCGCCTGTCCTTCTCATGCAATTCTTTTTCTCGTATGGGAGCCTGGTACACCCTACATCCACACTTGATTTTTTTCAATAAATACTACTCATCTCACCCTATATTTTAAGGTAAGTAATGAGTGAAAACCGTATATCATTTTATCGCCTGGGATGCTTAAAAACTAGAATAGTATGTGTGGGTGGGGTTGGGCCCGGTATGGTAGCCTGGTGATCCCTAAAACCACACTTTATATTTTACAATAAATCTACTATCTCACCCTATTTTTTAAGGTAAGAATGATGAACTATATAAATTTTATCGTGGGGTGCTTAAAAAATCATAGAATAGTATGTGTGGGTGGGGTGGCCTGGTATGGTACCTGGGGACACCCCTACCCAACTTGATTTCTTACAATAAATACTACTTGCTCACCCAATTAAAGACTTTTAAAAATTTAAGGTAAGTAATGAGTGACTGTGTGTGTATTGTACTTTTTATTGTTTTTTTATGCCTGGTTTTATTGCTAACAATATATGTTAGCGTAAATTGTTATTAGTGTTTTTTAGCATTTTAAGTGGAAAAAAAGGGGTTTATTTACGGCGGTGGGTGGAAACCCAACCCGCGATAAGTGGGGCCCCCCGTATATTTATTTTTGTGGGTCTGTGAAGTGTGACCAAAAAGTAAGTAGGGAGAAGATTCCTGTTATCTACGGTTTTGAGACAGAAAAAAAAACCGCAAACCCACCACATGCAAAAAAAGTTAAGGTTTTGTTTCCAGTCATTGGCAGGACGGTAGTACTTCCTGGTGGTTGCTGTCTCAACCTACAACCTGTTATGTGCATATTTATTTTATAATTTGAAAAATATCATAGCTGGATTTTGAAAGTGTTAACAGTGGACCCTTGACCAACATATTATCCTTTCCCGAGAGCTATCGTTAGACAAAATTATTGTTAGTTGTTAACTTTCCCCCAAAAAAATAAAGGAAATCAATTAATCCGTTCAAGACACCCAAAAGATAAAAAAAATATTTGCCATAGAAATATACATTTTCCACACACAACAAAGGATAGATGCAAATACATGTTACATAGATATTGTATAATGAAAAATAATGGTGACACTTACCTGGCTTAACCCTTTCAGGGTTTTTGACATACTAGTCGGCTTATGGCCCCCCCGGGGTTTCTGACGTACTTAGCCAAATTCTAGAGCTTCAAATCTACAAGAGAAAACGGTAGGCATACATATGAAAGAAAGGGTCTATGTGGTCAGTGTGCACAGTATAAAAAAAAAAATCCTGCAGCACACAGTGCGTAATGAGAAAAAAAAAAACTGACCGTGTTTTTGGTTTAAAACAGCGACTTTGCCTGTATTTTCGTATGGTTTTTTGGTTGATTTGTTTTTCCTGGGTTATTTTATAGAAGGAAGAAAACGGAAATTGAATGATTTTGTTGGTTTCACAATGAAAAGTACCTTGAAATTGAGCTCTAAGTAGCAGAAATGTTTGATTTTTGCCGAAGTTCAAAAGTAAACAAATCATGCCACGCGTCCAAAACATGTCAACTGGTGAGTCTAATATTCTTTCACAAGTGCACTGATATTATTTATACCATTTCTATACTAATGCAGTAGTCTGCATAACAGTAAATCTTCTATTTTTTGCGAGAATAAAAATTCAAAGTGGAAAGCAAAAGAAATGTAAGAAGGGCCTGGGGATGTGACTAATGAACAGAGGAAGTGTTACTTTAGTGCCAGGAATGCCTGTCTTGTTTATTCTGAACCCTATTTGGAAACTGACATCTTCTGAAATTTGTGTGAAATTGGCAAAATTGCTAATTTGACCACTTTATTGGATAGTTGAAATCGGTAAATGGGTGGTTCTTGTACTCATTTGATAGAAAAAATGGAGTTCTAGCGAAAACGTTATAATTTTTGTCGACAAGTACACTGGAATTGGCTGAAAATAGGGCTCAAAGTGGGCGAAATCGCCGATGCGTAAACATCGTCGAGACTGCTAACTTCACAAGATCATAATTCCATAAGTTTTCCATCAAATTTCATACCTTTGGTGTCATGATCGCAAAAAGATTATCTATCTTTACATAAGAAAAAATAATTTTTTTTTTCCCGAAAAATTTTCGACCCTGAGAACAAGTTTAGGAGAGGGCCTCTCGACCCTGAAAGGGTTAAATTCACTCACATCACCACTAGTTGCAGGCATTTTTGTTTAATTAAATCATCATGCAACTGCCTTGCCTTTTCACATATGATCGCTTGAGAGATGCTATCTCCTGATATCTGTTTTTTGTTTATCCACACCATTAACAGTCTCTCAACATCTTCGAGTACTTGCAATCTGTGTTTCGAAAAGATACTTGCACCTTTTGCAACAGCAGCTTCCTTGATTGCCTTTCTGTTGGCCAGCACATTAAGTTAGGTACTGGTACACAAGTATAATTTTCAGAGTAGTATATATAAAATATGAAATGACTTTAAAATGCTTGAGATTTTGGAATTTCCAGACATAATGGAGAGACACGGAGCACACAAAGAATGTAAACAAACCAGGTAGGGCATGGTGACCACATTAGAAAGTCAGGTGGGGGAGCCGTAGAGTGAGTTTTGGTCATAATTTGAAATATCCGTATTAGCAGAATGCCGTGAAGTGAAACACCCTAAAGTGGGGCCCTACTGTATATTATTTTTGCTGCTCGCTTTGCTCTTAAGATGTTTTTGGCAATTTATTTATTTTAACTTTTGCATCTTTTTTTTAGGCCTGGTGCTATTGTGCACTTAATAAATGATAGTGTAAACATGTTTTTATACTTTTATATGCACTAGTATGTAAAAAAATGGCAGTCACTATACAGCAGCAGTCTGGACCCTACCCTGTCGTATTAATGAGGTATTCCTGTACAAGAAGATCACACTTTTAGAGGACAGTTACAGGAAAGCTTAATGTATTTCAAAGGCTACTAGGAGCCCAAATTCATATCATCTATGCAAAGACTACTGTACTCACTTGGAGGACAGTAACGGACCTTCGGCGAGGCACACTCATAGGCATTGGGACTACCTGTAACAGGTTTGATACTTTCTTGAAACCAGATCGTATTGAAGATCCCCCTGGAGAGGAGGTTTGTGTCTGTGCCTCTTCCAGGAGCAAATTCTTCTTTTCTAATTCTCGCCGGTACCTAAAAGAAAATTTTTGAAGTGAAAAACATTAGCTTACAGGATTACAATGATCAACATTTACCATGAGGCTAGTGATAGAGATGGATAAGGAGAGATATTAGTGAGCTGGGTGATAGTGTGGAGCTGGGGAGAAGAAAAAAAAAAAGGATGAGAGTGGGGTTGGACAGAAGCAAATGTAAAGGAAGGGCAAGTAGCAAAATGGTAAGGAATATATTGCTAATTTTTTTTTTTTTTCAACAAGTTGGCCGTCTCCCACTGAGGCAGGGTGACCCAAAAAAGAAAGAAAATCCCCAAAAAGAAAATACTTTCATCATCCTTCAACACTTTCACCTCACTCGCACATAATCACTTCTTGCAGAGGTGCTCAGAACAACAGTTTAGAAGCATATACATATAAAGATACACAACATATCCCTCCAAACTGCTAATATCCCAATATATTTATAAAAACAATACTAATGGCATAAGGCATAGTGGCATATGTGAGGCAGCTCCTACTTATACCAATCTATTACCATTCTTGTGTTTCTCCAACCCTATTTTTGTTTCTAACACATTGGCCGTCTTCCACCAAGGCAGGGTAACCCCCCCCCCCCCCCCAAAAAAAAAAAAAAAAAAAAAAAAAAATAATCATTCACACAATCACTGTCTTTGCAGAGGTATACAGATATGATAGATTAGATGTCTAATATCCCAAACCCCTCTTTTAAAGTGCAGGCATTGCACTTCCTACCTCCAGGACTTAAGTCCGGCTAACAGGGATTAAGTCCGGCTAACCGGTTTCCCTGAATTCCTTCAAAATATTACCCTGTTCACACTCCAACAGCTCATCAGGTCCCAAAACCATTCGCCTCCATTCATTCCTCTTACACTCACACATGCCTACTGCATGTCCAAGCACCTTGCATGCAAAACCTTTTCTCCCATCCCTCCAACCTATGCCTAAGAATTTCCAGTATTTTTACAATGTTACTTTGTAACTTATTTGTCAACATCTGCCTACATATTTTCTAAAGCATTTCTTATCTGGGGCCTTGTTCACTTCAAACATGTTTCAAGTGAATAGGTTTCCAGGACATATACACACACAAATATTTTATGGGTAGATGTTAATATGTCTAAGCACAAATCATCAGTATCATATAGAGTATCAGGTTTTCACCAATGTTAATATTAACCTGGTAGTACAAAACTCAAAGAGGTACAGTTTCTGAAACAAATCTGTGTGTTTCCTCAGTACTTTCCTGTGACTATCATTATTAAAGTAAGAGCAATATTACAAGAGATATAGCTTCAGTTATACATTAAGAACCTAAACTGGAAAAAATTAAATTATTCACAGCCTTCAGTAGCATTCAGTTTCTGGATGCATATCCCCACAAATTTGGAGGAGCACTCTATATATATACATGTTTATAATTTCCCCAATCCAATAATGTGCATCTTATTTACACTTTGTTGCTCATACTTTACTAAATGCCTGAAATTCTACATGATTTCATCTTCAAACTGTGGCTTACAAAACTACTGAATGGTCATTAATTAATTACATCTCCCTTAATGCAAAGTGAACCTCTATTTTCATATTGCTTTTTCAAATTTCAAGCATTTACTTAATTTCTTAAACATTATAACTGGATAGTTAGCTAACAACTTAATGCATTTCTGCATTTAATTTCACAAACTTTATCAAACTACACACTTCTGACATAATTTGGATTTATTACATTTATAACAATCAAAAACGTAAATCAGACATGAAAATAAGGTCAATAAAACTTACTTCAAGAAAGCACGCCAAGCCATTTGGATGGTTTTAGCTGCCGAGTCCATCTTTTTCCAACGTCTAGTAGAGGAAACAATCTCGAGCTCTTTGCGTGTCGGAAACTGCTTCTTAAATTTCTCTTCCATCTGCATCTTGAGCTGAGGGGGGAACTAGGAAACTTTGAGCGTTAGTCGGCGGTATGGCTCGCCTGAAGGTGCACAGTGCAGACACTGCAGGCGGCCGTGCAGGTGAGAGGGCTTGAGGGCGCGGACGCTCCAGACACAAGAGTGGAGGAGAAGACGAGGAGACGAACGGACATGTGAACAATTTTCAAGGCTGATCGAGAACTGGATGGGATTATATTTAGTTTCAAAGCTCATCATGTACCAGACAAAACAAATAATCATTTGCAAGGCCTCAAAAAATATTAAAGACACCAATGTCAAATGAGGTGATAAAAAAGGATCAGACTGACATGTAGATTAGTGAAGGTCACATGAAGACTGGATGGGATATATGAACACTCGCATCAAAAGGACAAGGAACGCAGTAAACCTCGGTTTAACAGACCACAATTTAACGTATTTCAAATTTAACAGACAATCTGTGGCTGGACAACATCCAGAAACAATGGACAGTGTTCAATAAAGAACTGTTGACTGGGTAACCTTATTTCAGATTTAATGGACACAAGGTCCAGTAAACCATAACTGTTTGTTGCTTTTATGAACCATTCTGATACAATGCTGTGTAACTCTTATGATAATGATAATAATAATAATGAATTTAACAGCTAAAGCCCACTAAATCTAAAATTATCTGTTATTGCTGTAGTCAGTTTGGTAAATAGACTTTTGGATTTAATCGACAAATTTCGTTAAATTCAGACTTGACTATTGTTGCAATCATGGGAAAACAGTCTCATTCAGATTTAACAAATAACTGGCTTTAACAAGCATTCCCACCCTACTCGTCCATTAAATCAAGGGTTAACTGTGCTTCAAAACAAAGTTGTTGGAAATATGAGGGCAAGTGTATTGCAAGAATAGTATGACTGATCAGGAGACAGTAGATTTTTGACATAAAAATACTATATTTTTAATATATGTTACAGGATTAGACAAATACTGTCTGTAATCATCATACTTATTGTAATTACTTTTATTAAATATTAACCATTTGCAGAAATGTTAAAAAGCAATTTATGTAGTGGATTAGGTGATGCAGTCAAGTTATACAACTTTCAACAAAATCCTTATCATTGGATTATAATGCCATTCATTATATATGCCCTATGAGAAGAATTTAAAAATAAATGTCTTGTGTTTGATTCAAATTCTTATCACAGTACCTTTATGATCAATGACATACTCAGCCAAAAGATAAACTCACATGAGACATTAAAAAGAAAAAAAAAAAAGATACAAGAGTGTTGCTTATTTTTACCACATCCAGTCTCTCGATAAGTATGAAAATGAATTTTCCCAAGGAATAACTGCACTTAGAAAAAGATAGCAAAAGTTTACAGCACAAGTAAAGACAGAGAATTTTGGCATTAGAAGGTTAACAATAACAGAAGGCTATTGCAAGGTATGGATCTATTTGATGCTGTTCACAAGTTGTTATAATCAAATAGAAACAATTTCTTCAATGAAACACTGCAAATACAGTAGCAAGGACAAACTCAACATCTGAACTTAGGTCTATATATAAAAAATAAATTGCACATAAAAATTACATACTGCATAATGAAAAAAACTTTTTAGGTTTTATTATTTTTTACATGCATAAAAATTTGCAAGCATTTTTTCTCATACAGTATTTAAGTTGAGATTGCCCCTACTATCTGTAATGCCTCATATGATACAAAGTTACAAGGTCAATAACCTTTTCATAATAAGTACCAGTACCTGTATGTAACAAAAAAATATTCAACTGACAATGGTATCCACCATTTAAAACTCATTATAATTTAAGTGTTAAATTTTTCTTTTACATTTGATCCAACTACTCTAGGGGTAAAATTTGAATGAAGGGAAACTTGAGTGTGGAGTTAGACCTTGGGAAAGCATTTTTTTTTTTTTATGTGATTTAGTTGTTTTCTCTGTCTAAGGCAGCATTATAATATTCTTGCTGTGATTCCCAAAATCTTAAAGTGTGTGCTTGATATTTTTTCAGCAGTGTCACAAAAAGTGTAATTTCTTTCAAATAAATCACAACATTCAACAACCATACAAGTAAGACCACGACAAAAATAGCACTAACAAACATTTACATACAAACAGGCAGTACCACAGCAAAAGACACACACACAATCTTGGATTTTACGCTCATCTTTTGAAACTAATAGAAGGTATTCAATAAAAATCCAAGACTTGAAAGTTTAACAGCAAAAGCAAAACATGCAACCAATAAAGCCAAGTTTATCACAATTCAAAACTTCTAAAAATTACTTATTTAACCAGCAATTTACTTTACATCTGGATGAAGCACTGAGCTGCCCATGCACTGACAAAACACATCAGCAAACAGTGTGCAGTACTACAAAACACTTATAATACAGACAAAGCACAAACAGATTTGGTAAACACTTTACTAACATCAAATTGACATGTGAGGAAGGTTTCAAGGGATTTATGCCTGCAGTGTTGCTTATTAATATTTATAAGCTACCAAGACCATAACAAACCTGATTGGTGAGGATCTGTAATATATTCGACTGTTTTCACTATCTTGTGAATTTTGATGAATCCATTAATGATTTTGTGAATTATAATGGGTATGAGGAATTTACACACATTAAGGATAGGAGAGAAGGAAGGTTAAAGATATAGTTTTTTTTCAGGGATTTTAGAAAGTACTACCTAGTTATGCTATACTAAAAAATTAATTTGTCATCAAATATCTATTCTCAAAAAGTAGAGTAAAACAGAATAGAAACACTAACCTATAGTACAGATTTTTTTAATTAATAATAATGGTTAAATATTAAATATAACTACATTGGTTTAACTTTAGTATGCCCTCAACATTAAATATTACTACATTAACTTAAAATGCAGTAAACCCTCTACTGTATGTAAATGGACTATCTTTTTAAAAGCCCATATTTAATTAATATTTCTGGTTTGGAATGAGGATTTGCTAAAAGACTGTACAGCTGTATTGACAGGCAAATAATGTATAAATCAAACTTATGAAAAGTAACACTGATGAGTGCTATTTTCTCTTTCGTAAAGGGGATTAGTCAAGAAATAATGTAATGTTATGCCACATTTCGAAAGGTATTTGCAAAACAATCTATTCCTAAATAGCCATAATTTGTGGAAATAATACATTTTTTGGATTAGTTATAGTATTAGTGTACTTAAACTAATACAAACCTTAATTATTAATGATAGATGCACACAAGATATTTCAGGAGTCTATACATGTCTGCTCATACGAGGACACAATTCCCTTAGTTTATCAAGAGTGATATATGGTACTGCACTATTTGTTAGTATAATTACAAATTCATAAAACTGTATCAAGGGGTAATAATCCATGACTACACAGTATACCTGTGACTTGCCATTTACCAACCTCAAAAACAATTATCTCAGTCAGGATAAAAGGAAGAAAGAAAGAAACAAGTGACCTGAGGAAGAAGGTCAAGGATAAGGATAAGGATGAGATGGTGAATGATGGGTGATGATTGTTGGTGATGGTTGTTAGTGATGGTAGTGGTTGGTGATAAATAGTAGCTGATAGTGGGTGGGAACAGTTAGTGGTGCATGAATGTTGGTGTTTACTGAATGGCAATTATTGGTTGGAGATAGTTAATTACAGCCTTGTAGATAATAGCTAGCAATTATTGGTCAGTGTTAATTAATATCAGCTGATGATTAATGGCTAGTATTAAAATGGTAGATGATGGCAAGTTATTAGTGGTATGTCAATTTGTTTATATCACACTGTCTTTTGGGTACACCATGGTAGAAACAAGTACAGCTGTTCATGTGTGAACATTTACCTACCAAGTGTAAAGAAATAGCAAGGAGACCAGGGACTTATTGCTGCTTTTCTGCACCAGTGCTTACCCTCTACTGAGTATCCTGGTGGGCACTCCAGCCTTCATACTCTCAGTAGAGAAAACTTTCAGAAGTGAACAGTTACATTCATTTCTACCAGGAGATTACTAAGCAGATGTATGTAACTGGTAGTTGGAAATGGTTTGTAGGGCACAACAGATAGTGGTTATTTTTATAGATGGTGGTCCGTAACTAGCAGCTAGTGAAGGGGAGGGGGTCAGTGGATGGTGTCAGCTAGAAGGCTGTGACTAATAATGGGCATTAAATGGTTTTGATTAATGGTCAGTGTAAACTGTTGGTTGTGGAAAAGAGAAGACTTTGCAGAACAAGCTTTTACTGGGACAATGTTTTCCTGTGTAAAGTTTCATTTATTTATTTATTTATTAATTTGAACATGATACATAGAAGTACAAAGAAATACAATGGTTAAGTGTAACATGCCAAAGCCCCTTGTATGCAGAGCATTATGGGCAGGCTTAAAATTAATTTAAGATTAACTAAGCAATAATATATTCAGCAGTAAACATTATTGTAAACAAATAACAATTAAGCACAAATGAGTATTTCAAAGACAGGTCATATGGTCATTTACTGTGTTGCTGTGCATCCAGTAGAATGGAGTATTCTGTTAGGTAATGTAATTAAAAATAAAGTTTGATTGGGTCACAGGTTAAACATTTATGAGATACAATTATTCAGTATTTATTTAGTTGTGGGTGAATAAGTGATTTTTAAGAAGAGACTTGAATTTATAAACAGTGTTTCTTTTATATTCACAGGTAATGAATTCCAGATTTTTGGGTCTTTTATGTGCATTGAGTTTTTGCATAATGTGAGATGGACACAAGGAACATCAAAGAGTGATCTGTGCCTTGTGTTATGGTCAGGCTGGTAAGGAGACATTTGAGGGGAGGGTTTATATCCGAGTTAAGTGTTCCATGTATGTAGTAGGTACAATAATAAGTATGGATGTTTTGTATGGTGAGTAGGTTTAGAGTTTTGAATATTGGTGGTGTGTGCTGCCTGTAGTGGGAATTTGTTATTCTGACTGCAGCCTTTTGTTGGGTAATTAATAGTCCGAGATG